CCTGCCCTTGATCCGTGTCCCCAGCAAACCCGCTACACCTGGCAAGAGGGCACGCTGTTACTATCCGGGAATTCCCACAGCCCAGTATGATGGTGAATTTAGAAAGTGGACCCAGAGTATCTAAGGGCAATGATTATGCCCTTAGCTTGAATCTGCATTGCGGTTCACCCTGTCCCTCACGTGGCTCCTAGAGGGGAGCTTGTATATATGCAGATGATTGGAATTTTGAGGGGACACCTGTTGATCATTTGATAACATCCCAGACCTGGAGAGGCCCTCCCCTGGACTGGGAGGGACCTGCGTGTAACCCGCAGGTGAGTGGAGTCCAGCACCCACTTGCACCTGGCTCTGTGAACGGCTGAGGGAACATCACACCTTGGGACATAAGGAAGTAAAACAACTCTTAAAATGCAGGGAACAATATTCCACCGGGATAGACAAAATGCTGTCACTCTGCCATAATCTCCATCACCGTATTGGCTGAGACAAAGCGAAAATGAATTTACACGCTGGGGCCCAGCCACACTGGGCATCTCAGCAAACTGCGGTCTTTGCTGCCATCTGGTGTCAGGCTTCAGTATTACAGCAGCACGGGGGCTTGGAGAGACAATTTGCATATTAAATCAGAAAACCTGAGAGGTAGCAGAGCCAGCTTGTGTGCAGTTGTGGGGGCACCTCTCAGGGTTTTCTAACTTAATCCTGACAAGAATGGCTGGCTGCTGGAGGCCCCTAAGCAAAGTTAGGAGAGGCCACTTTAGCTAAAGCGTTGGGACGGCAGCACAAATGGAGCACCGCCCATCTTCTTCCACGGTGGGGAATGCTCCAGGCAGCACCAGAGCAGGGAGCCCTGCCCGGGAAGAGCCCAGATCCTAACTATCTGCCTAACAAGACCTTTGGCGGTCTTTCACCAATAGCCGCCTGGTGTGTCTTCAGTTGGCAGTCTGGAGTCTCACTTCCCCAGTATCTGACGTGTGCAGCACACGTTTCTCCCACCGCTCCCCGCTTTCCGTGCAGTGAGAACCTGCCGTCCCCTTCCCCGGCTCCAACGTTGCCTCCTCACCCGCCGTGCGGGCTCTGCCTGCCCGTCCTCTCCTGGTGTCTCCCGCCCCCTCTCCAGTCCTGCACACCTCCCGAGCACCTCCACCTGCCTAAGGCGGGTCTATCTTGCGTGCCAAAAATCTGTAATTTAAAAATGTGACATTTGTATAGTATGCTACAGAATTTTCATGTTACATTATTTTTATGCATTTATTTGATAATGTGCTTAATTGTTACCTTTAATTTCACCATGCATGAACAACTAAGATTACATTAAACTATCTGGGTGCAAAATCCGTTACCCGTGGTGCCCAGTCTGCAAGTGAGATCCCCCTTTGGTCCCTGAGCTCTGCCGTCGCGCTGTCCCACGGGGTCTCCAGCTGGGATCCTTTGGGGTCCTTCCAACTAGGTCCCCACAACTTTAGAGATTGTCTCTCGCCTCCCCAATCTTTCTTCTTCTCCTGTGTTCTCTAGATGGCTTGATAATGCTGTCTCCCCTTAGTTCTTTAAGCTAGTAACTTAGCCGTCTTTTTAAGCCCTTATCACTGCTGCCCTGCATCACCAACATGCAGCCTTGCTGGTCTTTTTGTCTCCAGGCCAGCCCTCCACACTTTAGCTAAAGTGGCCTTCCTAACTTTGCTAAGGGGCCTCCAGCGGCCAGCCATTCTTGTCAGGATTAAGTTAGAAACCCTGAGAGCTGCCCACACAACTGCACACAGCTGGGTCTCTGCTACCTCCCAGGTTTTCTGATTTAATATGCAAATTGTCTCTCCCAAGCCCCCGGCTGCTGTAATACCAAATACAGACACCAGATGGCAGCAAAGACTGCAGTTTGCTGAGATGCCCAGGTGTGCTGGGCCCCAGCTTGAAAATTCATTTTGCTTTGTCCCAGCTAATACTGGTGATGGAGATTATGGCAGAGTGAGCGCAGCTTGTCTATCCGGTGGAATATTTTCCCTGCGCTTTAGAGTCGTTTACTCTTTATTCCCCGAGGTGTGATGTTCCCTCAGCATTTCACAGAGCCAGGTGCGAGTGGGTGTGAGTCCACTCACCTGTGGGTCCCATGGTGCGGTCCCTCCCATTCCTTGGCCAGGGCCAGCTGAAATCCTTCTTGGTGAAATAAACGCTTCTTATCCTGTGTCTTAAGTGTAAATGAAGAACAGATTGGGGGACTATGTATGAAAACCTTAAGTATTTGAAATTATTGTCAACGTTTCATCTTTGTTTACGTTAGGCTGAAAATGTTCAGTTCACTCAAAAACTCTTTTTCACAAAATTATCCTGCAGAGTTCTGCCCCGTGCCCTTATGAACTGTGGAACTGGAATTTGCTATCAGAGATTCTGACTTTGAGTCCAAGATGGAGCAAGGTGAAATAAAGGGAATTTCTGAGGAATATTGCCTTGGTGATCTTGTTTATTTAAATTGTGATTCCTCTTTCTGTGAAATTCCTGTATCCTTTCCTTTCATTATCCTTTTCCTCAGTGTTTACCAGTTTCTAGCTTGTCATAGAATTCACTTCTTTTGTTTGGGGGTCTTTCCTCGTTAGAAAATAAGCGCATGAGGGTTGGCTTTTCTCTCCGTTTTGGTCACTGTTGATCAAAACCTTACAGGTGCTTCATAAATGTTTTTCTAATGAATGAATCGATCAATAAGAATTGTTTTCTCAGTATATTTGTTGTAAAAGGATATGTTGGCATCATCTTAATTTATCTGCATTTGATTATTGGTTAGTATATTTTCACAGCAGGGAAGGAAGATAGCAACTTTCAAATGCTAGGACATTCCTTCCGGAGGAGGAAAGAGGACACGCCAAAGTCCCTCAGCCTACTTAGGACATTTAGACCTGAACTTGGAGCAGCAGGAAGCAGTGATCACAGTAAACACCCCTCAAGGGCTTCAGTTTCACTCCCTTAAAGTGAAAACAGTTTGTTTTGTGTGAGACAAGGATCAGGAATCACCCCTCAAGGGCTTCAGTTTCACTCCCTTACCTGAAAACAGTTTGTTTTGTGTGAGACAAGGATCTCTTTTCCTGGAGGCAGTGTGCTGTAAAAATCTGTCATTTCCAAGAACCTGAGCTGCAGGGTCTGTAGGAGCAGAGTACAAGGAGATCTGTAAATCTTTCCACACCCGCCTTTTCTCTTAGTCCTGCCCATCGGTGTGGGAGGTGGGCTCTGTCCTTTGAAGGGACACAGTCCAGCCGTTGTGTCCAAATACTTGCACAGGTGTTGCCAGGTGTGGGGACCAGGTGTCACGTCCGTGTTCCCTGGTCCTTGAGTCCCGGTACTGAAGAAGGTTACTGGTACTGAGTCCATGGGGGAAATGAGCAAACCAAGCAGAGGCAAGTGAGCAAAGCACCAAAGTTTACTAAAGAACAGAACATTCCAGAGAAGGAACAGGTCAACCCCTGCCAGTGGAGGAGACTCTGAGTTTAACAAGATTTTCCCTTTTATGCTGATTCCATAATTTTATGTTGAGTGTGTGTGGGGGGACACAGGAAAATTCATGGTTTTTCTTGGAAAAAGATGGAGAATTCCTGAAATGGGGGCAAATCCTCCCCATTTTTAACCTTGTAAGGCGGTTTCCGGGGGTTGCCACGGTGTTTGTGAACTGTCATGGCGCCGGTGGGTGTGATTTTTACTGTGTTATTGGGGTAGGTCACTTAAGGATGCTGTCCCTTGGGAATATAAATCTAAGCAGTTAAACCAGTTATGGCAAACAATTTGGGACATAATCCAGGACATAGGAAGCACTGAGTGACACAGAGCCCATTTACGGCCAGACCAGGAAGAACAGTTTCCGAGGTCTGTGAAACCCACAGTAGGGAAGTAGGGAAGCCTCTTGGTTAATATGTGACAAAATCATTACAGAGAGAGTTTGGTGCCAAGATACCATTGCTTTTCCGTATAGAAATGAGTTTATGGTCATGACTGCACCAATATCATAAAAATAATATCGATTCCTGTGAGGTTAAGTGCTTACCAGCTGTGTTGCTCTAAAATTTTCCACAAAAAAAAAATCTCCTGTAGGCCGGTCACGGTGGCTCAGGCCTGTAATCCTAGCACTCTGGGAGGCGGAGGCGGGAGGATCATTCAAGGTCAGGAGTTCGAGACCAGCCTGAGAAAGAGCGAGATACCGTATCTACTAAAAACAGGAAAAAAATTAATTGGCCAGCTAAAAATATATAGAAAAAATTAGCCGGGCATGGTGGCGCATGCCTGAAGTACCAGCTACTCGGGAGGCTGAGGCAGAAGCATCGCTTGAGCCCAGGAGTTTGAGGTTGCTGTGAGCTAGACTGACGCCACGGCATTGTAGCCTGGGCAACACAGTGAGACTCTGCCCCCCCCCCCCAAATCCCCTGTAGACTCAACTCAGTGATTAAGAAGGTCTCAGAGATTTTAAAGAAAAAGGATTAAGATTTAGATGCTAGAGAACATGCTTTTACTGATTGAGATATTTTTAGGGGTGAGTTGTCAACTTTAAAATGTTCTATAAATGTTTGTTCAGCTTAAGTTAAATTGTCTATGGCACCCAGAACCCCTTACAATTCATATGAGTGGATTTTGGGAGTATAGGAAAGAGTGTAACCCAATTTCACAGGTTTACCTGGTAAGGAAACGTCCTGTTCAGAATGACTCAGATGTAGGCACAGAATGACTTGCACCAATAGGCTTTTTCAGGACACTTTTCCATGGTGAGTGGGGTTTCTCCGAGGAATACAGAGCTGTTAATCAGAATAATATGATAAGGAAACTAGGAGTCACATCTTTGATAATTGGCACATTTGTCAAAAAGAGGACTGACTATAAATCTGAAGCTACATGCTTTATTTGTGTGGGTGTAAGTCTTCCTTACCTCCTAAGATGAATCTCTTAAAACTAATTTTTATCTAGTATGAGTGACAAGCCTTTGCTGAGAAAGAGGAAATTGGTTAGGATGACTCAAAGTGGAAAAAAAAAAAAAAAGGAAGTATCTACTGGTTTCTTATAACAGCAATGGAGTCATAAATAAGAGCTAACTTGGGGAAGTCAGACGCCCAGAGGGCAAGAGAATAAACGGAGACTTGATATAAGGACAATTATTTTTGACCAACAAAGGCTTTGAAAAAATACAGCTTCACCATGAGAACTTTGTAAATTAAAAAAAATAAAAAAAGATGATGTCAACAGGACAGCCTGATTCACGAGTTAACTAACATTCTGAACACCTGCTCTGTGTCGGGCACCACGCAAGGCTCTCTTAACAAGAGTGCAATAGAGAAATGAGAGACACAGTCCCTGCTCCTGTGTGGCTTGCAGGTTATACAGGTAGGGTTCGAGGGAAATCACCAAGAAAGCAAACACCTACAGAATGTGACAACTGCCACGGTGCAACACACTCGGTGAGAGAGCGTAGAGTGGTCACGCCAGTGCAGCCTCCCAGGCCAGCAGCAGTCAGGGTGGAGGGAGAAGCAGACGAACACGTCCCCTACATCCTGCAGTCCCTGGGCAGGAAGCTCAAGGTCCTGCTACTTCCCTGGGGACCACACAGTGGAGGTGGAGGCAGGATGTAGGAGAGCTCTACTCTGTTTCCTCAGAGGCAGGTCAGTGCTTTAAGAGCCTGAGCGTCAGGAGTGGTTAATCGAATGTGGCGTGAGGCTTTATGGGGATGGGAATTTGTATTTTGGTTCTGGTGCTATAGAACAACCAGGAAGAGTGAGGAGCAAGCCCTGAAGTAGTAACACCCAGGGCTTTGAGTCAGGGAACTCAGGGTTTCTGTGCCCCCCAGGGAGAGTCAGAAAGGCTTTGGTGGTAAATTACCTCGGAGGGAGGGCTGGGCTCCTTCTCCACACGGTCCCAGGGGCCCTCCAGCAGGCAGTTGGACTTCGCTGGTAACTTGGGGCTCCCAGAGCCCCAGGTGGAAGCTGACGGTCCCCTAAAGGTGGGAACACAATGACGTGGCTTCACTTCTGCTGCACCCTGTGAATCACAGCAGGCGGGGGCTACTATCCAGACCCAAGGGGAGGGGACATTCTGCCCACTTCCCAACCAGGGGGAGTATCAGAGAATCTTTAATTCTTCACAATGCTCTTGGGAAGGCTGGAGCCCAGGCCTTGGGGCTTGCAGACTTGGCAAGGTTCTCTGGGCTCAAGATTGACACAATCGGCATGGCTGTCGACCTCCTGGGCCTTTAATTCAACATACTGTTTATATCAAGGTGTCATATTGTGGGGTGAAATCTCCTCCGCCCTCAACTAAACAAACAAAACATGCGTGAACAAAAAAACATCCCGACCCTGCATTTCCTTTGGGCTAGAATGGGATGCCAGAGAAAACTGTGCAAACAACTGTCATTCTCTAGAGCGTCTTCAGGTGGGAAGAGGTGGATCAAAATAAAAGTAAATTCAACAGGTAACATGTCTATTTTCACAGATACAAAGATGCCACCAGGCTATGAGTATGGATCCAAAGACAATGAAACCCGTCCAGGAAGAGGAATGGGCCGGGCCTCCAGTTCACGGAAAGCTATGCAAGGGGAGGCTCCAGGAGGGCAACTATGGCAACAAATTGAGAAGATCGGACAGGATGCTCGAGTCTGAGCTGTGTCCGGACTCAGGGCAGGAACCTACAGAATCTACTGCTTCCCTATGTTGACTTCAGCAAGTTGACGCTAGTGGTGGGCTGTGGTGGCTGTGGTGAGGATGGCAGAAGCTTGGGTCCCTAAAACTGAGACAATCTGATTCAGAACACAGAACCAAGAGAGGTTTGTAAGGAATCTGGGCCAGGCGGGTGTGAAGACCACGAGAGGCAGTAAGAATTGAAAACTAGTCCTAGCTTTAGCATAACCACCAAGTACAGTGAAGGAGACAACGGGAGGTGAGGCTAGTGTCAGGAGAGGGTCCCCTGACACCTCACAGTGCAATGCGGAAAAGAAAAGTTGGTAGACAGAGGACACCCGCTCCTCCGGGGAGCAGCCTGTGCCGGGCAGGGACGTGTCCCAGGCATCTGGGATTGGGATGAAGAGCGGTTGGTCCGTGAAGATTGCCGCGCAAAGGGATGAATGTCACTGTGGCCAGAGAGGGCCCTTAACTCAGCGGCATGTCAAAATCCCTTGCAGAGATTTTAAGAAATGCAAGTGCCTGGGCCTTGCCCCGGGAGATGCTGAGTCAGGAAGTCAGAGATGGGGCCTTTTTTCTTAAGAAAAGACAAACAGGAATGGAATGAAACCAAAATATTTCACCCCAGAATACAGTCTGACATAGTTTACGGTGGCTGTTCAGAGGGCCTGCAAACAGAGAATCTCTGCAAAGCTGTCTTGCGGGGCACTGATGCCACCGGGCTTTCCCTGACAGGCCTTACCTCGTCCAGGTGTAGCAGGGATGCCTGAGACCTGACCCTTTTATACCCACCGTCTGCTCTCTCTGAGGGCTGCTGCCTGTGGGGTTCCGTCCACGTAACGAGACCACCTTTGCCACCAGGCCTGCTCTCCTCTCCCTCCCTTGCCCAGTCCGGCCCCACAACCTGAATCCCTGCCACAGCCTGTTCCTGGCCATGCTCTGAGCCCCTGTGATTTTGGTAACCTCAGGATGGTATATAAGCTTCTGCGTCCCTTGTCGGGGATGGGGTGGCCACTCTGCGGTTACCCCCTTAATTCGATGCCCTTCCTCCTAATAATCTGCCTTTTGTCAGTTGATTTTCAGGGAACCTTCCGAGGACAAAGGAGAAGTTTCCCCCCTCGGCCTCCCCAGAGCAAACACACCAGAGAACTTGCGAAATTTTGATACGTTGCCAGGGTTTTGACTTTGCGTTAAGTTTTGGTAAACTCATTTTTTTCTTTTCTGGGATCCTTAGAACTTGTACTTTTAAAAAATCCATATTTAATTTTATCATAATTTTGCTTCCTTAAAGTGCTTTCTGAGGGTTTTATTAGTCTGTATCTCAGCTGTGCCAAAGGAGAAACAGGGCCAAGCAGGTGTGTCCAGGTGTGAGGACAGCGGGACTCGAGTAAGACGCAGAAACAGGCAGGAATGTGGCCAATGCTCGGCCTCTGCCCCCTTCCTCCTGGGAAGGCATTTTAGAGGGCATCCCCTGGGGACTGAGCCTCTCTCCTTGACCCAGTTCCAGGCTCCTCTAAGCTCTTTTCTCAGCAAAGCTCTATCCTTGGGTGTGTCCCCAAGAACCCAGTTTTGGCAAGAATCCCCCACCCTGATGTCTGATCTCCCTGATACTTGGCTGGGTTTCTCATCCTCCACCCTTCCCCAGGGTGGGGATGCCTGATCACCCCGACCTGCCTCTGGCAAGAACCCTGTGAGATCCCGTGTGGTCACCCTGGCATCCAGCCCCTCTTGCTGGCCGCTTCCTCTTAGTAACTTTCCATGCACTGACCCTGCCTTGCTCCTTGGCAGTAAGCCTCCCTTGCCCACGCTGTACTGGCAATGGAGCCTGGTTGTAATACCGAGGTCTCTTCCCCCTCTTGCAGTAGTATCTGAATAGGATCTGTTTTTACCTGTTAACTCTGCTCTTGCTCAGGCTGGTCTTGAACTCCTGACCTTGAGTGATCCTTCCTCCTTGGTCTCCCAGAGTGCTAGGATTACAGGTGTGGGCTGCCGTGCCTGGCCAACTCTGTGGTCTTTGACCCCCAGCCATGGACTGGTACCAGTGCGTGGCCTGTTAGGAACTGGGCTGCACAGCAGGGGGTGAGCGGTGGGTGGGTGAGTGAAGTTCATCTGTGTTTACAGCTGCTCCCCATTGCTCACATCAGTGCCTGAGCTCTGCCTCCCCGCCTCCCCTCCTCCCTCTCCCCATCCCTGGAAAAACTGTCTTCCATGAAATCAGTCCCTGGTGCCAGATGGATGGATTTCTGAATACAAAGGGAAAACAACAAAGCTCTCTCTCTCTTTTTTTTTTTTATCTGTCTGGGCCATGAATTTGATTTTTCTGAACATTCCCAGTAAAACAGCCGGGCATTTTGAACTGACATCAAAACTAACTAAATTTTCAGATGTGAGTCCTCAGTAGAGGACAGAACTTGTTGGTGAGATTATTTCCTCTCTAGTCCAGTATTTTCCTATGTGTTCTCATTAGCATAGCGCTTGCGTTTTTGATCCACAGTTAATATAAACTTATTCGTACATAGAGGAAGGGCCCAGAGAGGTTAAGAGAACTAGCGGTTTAAACGCTGTGACCTTCGCTTTGTAGATAATGTAGGAAGTTGGAAATATTTCCCACTGATGCCCATGACTATTTGTCTCGGGTTCAACGGGAGAAGATGGTTTTGTTAGGGGAGGGCCCATCAGCTGTCAGGTGTCAGACATTTCCACCCTCCCCCACCCTGCATTCACGTATCCACTCTTATCAAGCTCGCTTGTCTAAGTATGTTTCAATAGCATTAACTGCAACCTCCCTCTCTGAAAAATATCGCTGACTCACCGTGATCAGAGGATTTTGTCGTTGCGTGTTAGAACTGCTAAAAAGACAAACCCAGCCTGCTGTACTTGCCCTGAGTTGTACAGGATCTGCGGATGGTTCTAGCTGGTTGGAAAGAGGCTTATAAAATGGGGCTGTTAATTTTTAAATCATTTTATCTCGTGACGTTTTTGTCTCATGTTTCTGATGTTTTGCAATGCAAACATCCGGAAGCAAATGTGCAAATACAAACCACCGCTTTTCAGGGACGACTGTGTAGATAACAACTTCCCCAGCCTAGTGAGCAGCAGATTTCCCCCCGCTGCAGCTTAATAGTTTCTGGGGCTCTGAGGGAAAGTGAACTCCACGGCCCTGACTTGGCGAAAGGGTGGAGGAGGGTCCTCTGAGGTGTAGGGGAGGAGAGTCTTTCTCTTTCTACCTAACTTAGGCCGTTGACTGGGCCCTGTAAATTACACAAAAGACAGATCATCCAGAGAAAAACAGAGAGAAGTTTATTGACATGTTGCAATGTGCATTCGCAAGGGAGTGTTCGGAGATGACGAACCCAAACGGTGCTTAAAATTCGGGGGTCCAGATACCTGACTTAGGAAGGGAAAGGGGTGGGGGATAGAAAGCTCTTATGAAAAAACAAATGGACTTTTCAGAGGTGTGTGGGGTACCAAGGCTCCTGTCCTAAAGGTTCAGTGAAAAATCACTGCCCTGAGGCGGGTCTTCCACATCTCACATGCTCACAGGCAGCAGCTTCTGCCAGAAGTCGTGCGAAGGCTCCACGCTAATATTCATCCGAAAATGGGTAATTAGGGTGGCCAGAAAGGCTGGAAAGGGAAAGAACGGTGTATTGTATGGTTGCAACGGCTCCATTAGGAGGGTGGCAGGAAAGTGATTTCTAGGAAGCTGCTGTTAGGGCAGAAGCTACAAAACGTATTTCCTGACTGGTTGTGATATAGAGTTTGTATTTCTTACTTTCATGACCACAACTTTATACTACGTGTTCCTAAAAAGTAACCAATTATTCGGATTATATTCTCTTTCTGGACTATAACACACAGAGCACTCAAAGTCATATATTCAAACATATATATATATTTTTATATCTTTCACCACGGCAAAGAGATGTTCTATCCGTTTTCATTTCAAATTGTAAATGAAAGTAGAAACTCATTCCGTCTTCCTTTGAACAGGGATAAGACACCTATATGCTCATCATTCATATATACTTCTGAGTGGTAAGTAAATACATGTGACTGGTGGTAATTACACTTCCATCCTATTAATTCATTAACTGTTAACACTAACTGCCTACAATATGCAATATATTACATTGGATTCAGAATTGTAAATTGTCACATATAAATAAGGCCCTTCTCCTTCTCCAAAGAGCTATAATACAATAATGAAAAATCTCTATGTAGAAACAACACAAAAAGTATAAAGTGATGAATAAATGACTGCTTATTCAATATTCAATTGGTGGTAGGAATTACTAATGCTTGCTACTTTCTCTTTCTTTTTTATATTTTCCTTTCTCATTATTTCCCCCCCAAAGCAATAAAATATTAACAGTGATAATGTATCTGTCAATGTCTGAGCATTTACAATGTGCCATTGTGCTTATCCCTTTTCATACATTGTCTCATCATCTCTACTACCTGCTAAAATCTCCGTTAGCAGCAGTAACATAACTTCTTGCTTTTCTCTCATTATAATAAAAGTTCTGTTACGAATCCTAGAATCTTGGAGTGTGGAGGAATAGTAAGCATCTTTTGTTGGCTATAAGTAATCTCCAACGAGAGGGCACTGCCTTCACACTCCTCCTTTGGTTTTCAATCTCTCCTCTCTAAAGCTTCTCCATCCTCTGCGTTAAGACCTCCACACTGCGGAAAATCTAGACCAAGGGCCCCTGCTGACCCCACGAGAGCCAGCCTTCCTGGGGGCAAATGCAGTGTTCACATCACAAGCAAACACCTACCAAGAAGGAAGAAAGAAACTAGAGAAACTATCAAGACACTAATTGAAGTATTGCTAGCTGAAGCTAGTTTGACATGGTGAGAGAGATGTCAGACTAACGAAAGGTGTGCAGCCCAATTTAAAACCAAACCCTGAACCCTTTTAAAGAACAATAAACCATATTTCTCACACCACACACACACACACACACACACACACACACATAGAGACACTGATTGACAGGATCTAGTGAACATTTCATGTGGAGGACACGGGAATTTCTGGCATGCACCACAAGACTGATGGAAATGCCTTTTATCCGATAAGGAATTGAGCAGGTTTGGGAGAATGAGATATAAACAGATATCAGACATAGAAAGAGATCTGGAAATGTGTGATTAGGCTACATTGGTAATATCCGCAGCGTATATCCACTAGACAATGATAGATAGGAAAGGCCTGTATGGAAGGTGTAGACTCAGCAACGCTATTGCCTGCTCTGGAAAGTTCCATGGAGGCAGGAGTGCACAGGCACATGGTGACCCACGCTGACCTGGGCCCACTCACCCTGTCAGAGAACAGAGCTTGGGAGTAAATCTGGGAGGAGAGTTCCAGAAAGCTGCTGTCTCACCTAGACTCAAACTGGCCTGTGTCTTCCTGGGGTTGGGGTAACCTTCAACACCCATCCACATTCCTCCCAGAAAGTAAAGTGAGGGAACACGTCAACCAAAGGTACTTACATATCTGAGTTGAAATAGCGTAGATTTCTGTTTAAGCCATCTAGGACTTTCATGTCCTCTGCAGTCAACTCGAATTCGAAAACCTGCCACAGAGGTAGAAAATCCTTATTGCTGTTAGACTGCGTAATTGCCAATCAAGAATATCCAAGGATATCAGAAAGTGTGGTGTCCAGGCAATACTTAAAATATATGATGTTCCCCAAAGTTATGAAAGACATCAAGTCAAATACTCAAGCGGTTAATGGATATCGGGTGAAAAACATACAGATTTCCATGTCTAGATATAATATAGCAAAACTATGCATGACGGCAGGCAAAGAGAAGATCTCAAAAGGTGCTGGACTGGAAACAAAGCTGACATTTTCAAACATGTTAAAAACATATCCAGAAGAATCGAGAGGCAAGTTTTTGCAATATACAAGTTGATTTAGTAAGTTGGATGGATACAGTGGGGTTTCCACATCTCATCTACGAACACTTATGGTGTAAAAAACGCTTTTCAACACAATTCGAGCCAGGGATTGTCCAAACACAAATGATGTCATGTTGGAAGGACATAGACGCTGGCTGTAGAAGATCTCACTGTTTAAATTTGGGGTACTTTAAATATCAAAAAGATGTCACTAATTGTTAACATTTGAACTGAATGATCCATTAATCCCTAGTAATGTTCTGAAATAGTGACACAGAGAGTGACAGTGAGAAAGAATGGAAAACATCAGCAACTTAACAAATGACGAATCCGGGTGAGAAGTGTTCACTGCATTCTCCTTTAATCATTTCTGTACATTTGAACATTCCCAAAAGAAAAATAAAAAAAAGTCATCAAAAGGATTATGAGTACGATCAGAGTTCTATGAGTAAGTCTAAGAAAATATATACAAATGCCTCAATGGGGAAAATTATAAAATGTATTGAGATGTGTTTAAAAATAAATAATTGGAAATTTGTATCATAATCATGGATAAGAAATCTCAGTGTTGTCAAGAAGTCAGTTCTTTCCAAATTCACCTACAGGTTCAGTGCAACAAAAACCCAAGACCAAAACAGCTACTCTTTCATATAAGCAGTCAAGAATAGCCAAAGTAAAGATGGATGTTTCTATAATTAGTACAAAAATAAATGAATAAGGAGTTAGAAACAGGTTTTATCATTCTCAGCACAAGATTTACATTCTAAGGTAAGTGAGGCAGTACACAAAGAGACATAAGCCAGCTGAGAGCCCAGAGGCCAGAAAAGTACCATGGACATTTAGTACAGGATACAAGTGAAAAACTAAGATCTGTCAGCAAATATGGACTTCTCTATAATTGTTAGTGACACACTTTGATATAGACATGAAACTTTTATATGCATATTTGAATCCATATTTCACATAGCATTTAGAAAAACAACTCCAGTTGAACGAATGATCGAATTTATAAGGAAAGACTACTGACAGTTTTGCAGGGTAATATAGCAGAATGTTGTGTTCCTGATACAGGAAAAGGCACAGCACGCATCCGTCACAAGGGAAAAGCGTGAAGAATCCGACTGTATTAGGAGTAGAAGCTTCTGTGCGTGAAAAGAGCCTAGGCTTTGCACGTGTCCACGCCCTGCCTTGGCTGGTGCCACGTGAGCAGGTGCAGCCTGCTCAGCTAGACGGCTGGAGGGTGAAATCACAGGGAGCAGAGAGGAGGCGCCCAGACCACAGCCCCGTCTCTACCCTGACACAGTTGCATCACTGTCCTGCTCACACATGAGGGAGCCCCCCAGGAACAGAGGAACTTGGCCACATGAGTACACAAGGAAATGAAAACATACACACACACACACACACACACACACACAATAATTTGGAGACTAAAGATCATCTAGTCCAAATCCCTCATCTCAGAAAATGCAGAGAAGGCGACGTCCCTACCACAGGGAGACAGAGTGTTTTGCAGACTTGGTGCTCAAACCCAGATCTCTGCTTTCGGGCCGATCCTAACTCTCTCGGCCCATGCTGCCTCTGCTGCTGTGGAGCAGGAGAAAGCCCTCAGGGACACGCACGCAGCACAGTGCCCAGGAAGTGCCAGGGAGAGGGACTTGGCCAAGGCTGTCAGGAGAGCCTCCCAGAGAAGCACCCGTGACCAGGACCCGTGCAGGAGCCTGAGCCCAGCCCCTCCTCACCTGCATGTTCTCTCTGATGCGCTGCTCATTGAAGCTCTTGGCCAGGACCACAACCCCACGCTGCAGCTGGTAGCGCAGGGCGACCAGGGCTGGAGTTCGCTTGTGCTTTTTGGCCAGGGCACAAGAACTGGGTCTTCCAGGAGAACTGGGGAGCTTGGGTCCACCCTGGAAGGACGGGCAGAAATGCTGAGCTCCTGAGGCTGCGTATCAGTTTGTCAGGAGCTTGCAAAGCAGACTCAGGGGTCCACGCTACCCGGTGCTTCTCAGGTTGGTTCCCGGCCAGCAGCACCAGCACCACCTGGGATGTTATCAGAAATGCACCTGCTCCCCTCTCCCTGAGCCACTTGACAGTTAATGCCAGGAAGCCGAGTATGGCATGACTGAAAAGTTTTAAATCGAAATGGTGTTTCGATTTAGAGGGTACGTAAACCCTCTGTTGTTCTTACCATCGTTTATCTCGTTGGGTTCCCAGAGCACTGTAGGCAACCAGAACAATGTCTTTCGACTTGCAGAAATCCAGCAGTTTGCTCTGGTTGAGATAAGGATGACATTCCACCTGTAGATGGTCAAGATTGGAAAGCATCAGATTATATGAAATAGTAATATTAATAAGAAAAAAGATTACAATAAAAGAAGCTGAATAAAAAAATCTGTGTAAAATTAAATTTTAACTGAGAATTTTAACCTCAAGTAGCGATTCCTTTTAAGGAGATAAATTTTGTATCCTTGTCTCCTGAGAGAGTAAATAACAATGCCATTTCTGAGAACAAGCAACTCTACGAACCAGATTTTGTTTTTTAAGCACATTTGTCTGCTAGAAGGAGACATGGTCAATTGCAGATCTGGGGCAAGGAAAGAACTCTTCGAGTTTGGACATCAAAGGCAGAAAAGCATTTGAGCCACAGACCAAGAATTAGAACAAAGGCTGATGACGGCAAGACCGAGGGAGAAAAGTAGTTTGGTATGAATCCTACTGTGGAATTTGTGTGGATTTGAGCATTTAAAAAGAATAGTAAGTAAAATCAATTAGAAATTGTAGGAAGATAAAAATCAATGGGTTCCTAGTGATGAGAGGAAGAGAGAGAGAGAGAGAGAGAGAGAGAACAGAAATGTTTGCCTCCACTCGTAGTGATGAATACCTCTGTGGACACAGACCCTTAGACATAAGGAGTTGAGGTTTTATCTGTTCTTATTATTGCTGGAGGAAGAATTCTATTTTATCTTGACTTGGTGAGAGATTGTTTCTCACAGTAAAATGTCAGGTAAGAAAATTAAAAAGAGTGGTTAAAATAGAAAATAATTTTTCAAAAACCCTAATAAGTAAGAAATGAGATTAGGAAATAACAATATAACACAAGAAAATAAAAACGGCATCTATACACACAGCCATGTGAACATTCCTTCTGGAGGATGACTTCCCTGTTTACCACGGTCTCCCAGCAGATTCTCAGCAACACAAAAGGGAAAACATATATTACAAAGAACAGATCTGGCTACCACAGGCTTAGCCAAGTGATCAAAACTGGCATCACTAACAGTGGGACAAACTGTCATCTCATGCCATCTACCACGGTGTGATTTGAAGGGGCACAGCAAGCTATGTACGTTCTTACCAAGAATGTTTAACTTGATTGCAATAAAGGATTCATCTCTAACTTGTAATTTCCCAAACTAGGAGTAAAGAACAAGTTTCTTCCTTCTGAATTGTTGTATTTTGATATCAATACTGAGAATCACAATTGAATTCTGGTTCAAAAAGAAGAGCTATAAAACACATTTTGAAAAAAACAATGAAGAACTAGAATATAACTGGATATTGGTGGACGTGAGGGCACGGTGTTGATTTCCTAAGATATGATAATGGCCCTGCAACTGGGGGAGAAGTCCACTCCTCTGGCATGCTTTTTGAGGTCCATAGGAATAACTTGTCATCTCTACAATTTACTTTGAAGAGGTTCAGCAAAATGTTACAGGTAGTGCAGACAGATGTGTCTACACAGGAGAGTTGATGGCAGCAGCATGGGGTGGGGGTTGGGGAGAAGCAGACTAGGATGTGGGAGGCACAAGGGCAGCTCCATGCTCTGCCCAAGGTGCCTCCATGTTGATTTCATCCATGGTCAACAGGTATCTCCATAACAGGTAACTTCCTCCCTCTCACCTGATGACTTTCATAATCTCCATTTGATTTTTAGTTTACTATGCCCTTGTTCAAGAACCCCTGAAGTAGATATAACAAGACAAAGGACTCAGGAATTTCAACTCCATTTCAACCCTTAGCACCTCTCTTCTCTAATTCTCACTCTCTTCTTGTTTCCTGCTCATTCTCTGTCTTCATGGCCTTCTTAGCTGTACACAGTTCCCTCCAAATCACCTTCACCCATCCATCTACTATTTGAGCATCCTCACCTGCCCACCGAGGTCTGATTAACCATTCCAGGCATCCTTGATCAAACTGACCTCCCCTACTTCTTACACACGTTTCCACACTGAGCTCTCCCAGAATTTTCACTAAGACTTTTCCAAGCAGAGATACAATTAAAGGTCCTCCATGACCTTCTAGACAGGGGCCTTGCTGTGCAGAACCTTCTGTTCCACAAAGGGAAGAAGAAGGGGAGGGAATGTCAAATGGACACCTGGTAGGAGTGCAGGAAGAACAAAAAGGAGAGGCGGCTGAGGTGCTCACCTGGTTGCAGACGGGCTTGTACTTGAGCCCTGGCTTGTTCAGGATCATCTCCAGCTGCCTGCGGTTAAAGTTGGACACCCCGATGGACTTGGCCAATCCTGCGTCCTTACACTTCTCCAGGGCCTGGGGAGGAAAGGATTGTGAAGAATCATTTGTGCAGTTGGCTGTAGATCACTGCAAATGCAACACAGAACTGTTAAAGCAATCACTGTCTAGAAATGACACGAGGTTATCTAACAATGACTGTCAAGCAGAGAAAAATTAAATCAGAAAATAGGGGAAGAAAATAGTGGCCACAAGAGTAAGAACTCCTATGTCCTCCTTAGGAAACTCGAGAGGCTATTGCACATGGAGGGAAAGAGATACCCGTTTTACTTTTCCCCAGTGCTTCTCCACCATTTTTCTCTTTTTCATTCCATTCATATGCTTTCCCCCCCAACACTCAGCCAAACTTCCCCTGTGAAGCCCATGAGCTTGCAGATCCAGTGGTGCACATCCCATTGTTGCAGGTGGGAGATGGAAACCCAATTCCCCACCTCCCGTCTTCCTCCTCTGTGCTTTCCCCTTCAAACACTTACCTCCCACGTGGCACGGAGATCCACTGTGTCATATAATGGTTTTCCGTCTTCACCTTTTGGGATAAGCTCCTCAGCTGGCTGAATCAGAAGCAGTCATTTTAGTGATCTCACAAATTAATGTCTCCACCCACAGCCACACTCCCGGGTACATTTAAAGAGACTATTCCTCCATGAGGGAGGTGGTGCACCATTCCAGAAACCGAAGTTTGCAAAGTATTCTACACATGGAGTCGTATGCCTTGTCTTTAGGGGACAGGCTTCCTCTAATCTCTGATGTCTGTTATATGTTCGAACAAATACCACTTTCCCAGGTCCTGGTGAAATCTCCTAACAGTTGGCTTATGCTACTTTTGTCTTCCCCAATATGTTCCTCTGGGAAATGCCTCTTTCCTTGAGAAAAACCTTCATATCTAGCACACATGGGGTGCAATCTCAGCCCAGGCAAGATACTCAGTGTTCCCTGTCCACCTGAATGTGTCATGGTCCACGGACAGGACCATGAACCACACACAGCCAATGGAAGTTCTTTTTAAGATTAATTTAGATGTGAGAAGACCCAGAGAAGCTCCCATGTGTTAATGACTATGGGCCTTAAAGTGCCCCAAAGCCATAATCACCTGGACTGGTAAGTAAAGGTGGGACATGAAATCCAGCAAACTTGTTGGAATACACAGATAAGGATGGAGAAAAGCATATGTTTCTGAAGTCTCTTTCAATTCCTGCAAGGTAGCCATGGCTTGAACTTCTCATTTACATCATCCAATAAACTCTTTTGCTTACAATTGCGCCAGCAGCATACAACACGGTAATTAAGGCCTAAGCGCAGCTACAGAACTCCGCAGTGAAGGAGGAGACTGCAGTGGAAGCGACTTTCTCCGTGCAGGTTTGTAGTGTGAGACCCACCCAGTGAGTTCCTCCAGATCTGCTTCAGCATGAAATGGGGAAAGATGATGGACACTCACAGTGCACCACGTGTAGAGCTGTTTGGTGGCCACTGTGGCTGCATGAAATCTATGTCTGTGACCATCTCAAGAGATGGACTGAGGAGCCATAACTGGGACAGTGCCTTGAACGTGGCTATTGGTAATTCCTCAAGGGTTTGAATGGAGGTTTTGGGTTGCTGTACTCTCTTCTCTTGTAGGCATGCAGTAGAGAAGACAGAGTTTAAACTTAATTCAATATAATGGGAATTAGGAGTTATACTTAGGGTTCTTCTCCCATGTAGTAATCCCCTCATCCACCTAAGAAAAAGCTTAATTCATCCATTCTTGCTAGCAATGGTCATAATAACAGCAAAGTGAAAAAGGCCTGATCACACAAGCGGCCTACCTTGAAAGACACTGGAGAATGGATAAGGTACAGGTCAACATAGTCCAACTGAAGTTTTTTCAGGGACCTTTCCAAGGCTGGCCGGACCAACTCTGGTCGATGGAAAGTAGACCAAAGCTACACAGGTTAAAGAACAAAAATTGTGTTGAATAAATGCTTTAGCCAATTTGCTTCACTTAATATTCAGACATTTTCTTTCTGCTTCCAAACTGTTGATCACTGGCAATAAAATATATATATATATATTCCCTTCCTTCTTGTGTTTCCTTTTGACCTGAACTATCCATATGAACTCTATTATATGTTGGATATATAGGTAGGACATCTACTGAATGAGAGAATTAAATTACTCGAAACATAAAAAATATTATCAAGTAATAATCATTCCTATTATCTCTATTACGTTTGATAGGACTTACAGAGAATTTTGATAGTCTAATTCTCTCATCCATTCAACCCGATGGGCAAGAATTATTATTTCTGTTGTTCAGAAATTGAAGAAAAAAAGGATTATAACATCATAACATGTACTGGACACAACTGAAGAAGTTCCAGCTGTATATTTGTTTTGCTCCACACTTTTTCTTGAATTACCTCTCTATCCTCTGATAAATGTAGCAATTGAGATTCAGAATAATAAGAAATGTTAGGCCGGCATGGTGGCTCACGCCTGTAATCCTAGCACTCTGGGAGGCCGAGGCGGGAGGATCGCTCAAGGTCAGTAGTTCGAAACCAGCCTGAGCAAGAGTGAGACACCGTCTCTATGAAAAATAGAAAGAAATTAATTGGACAACTAAAAATACATAGAAAAAATTAGCCGGGCGTGGTGGCACATGCCTGTAGTCCCAGCTACTTGGGATGCTGAAGCAGGAGGATCACTTGAGCCCAGGAGTCTGAGGTTGCTGTGAGCTAGGCTGACGTCATGGCACTCTTGCCTGCGCAACAGAGTGAGACTCTGTCTCAAAAAAAAAAAAAGACAGAAAGAAAGAAAGAAAGAAAGAAAGAAAGAAAGAAAGAAAGAAAAAAGAAGAAAAGAAAAAATAAGAAATGTTACAAAGTCACCAAGGAGATAAAGAAAACTATAATATGTTCGTGGTCCTGTCTAATTATATAACTGATGTTGAATCACAGTGATTTGAGCTGAGAGTCAGAAAAGTAAAGTGACTTTAAAGTCGTTAATTTGAACACAGCAGTGATGAGAATGCCATCACCATCCTCTGCTTTTCAATCTAGTTTTAATATGAGCACATGTGTGGCCACAAGCTGAACCAATAAGCACCATTCACTGACAATTACTGAGCCCAGCATGTAATTGTCATCTCTACACCATCACGTTAGACAACATGCACACAAGCACATCACGTGCACCTTACCTTTGATGTGTAGAAGATGTCCTCTCTCTTCACAGAGCCGTCTGCAATCTTGCTGCGGATGGCCAGCCCAACCTGCTCTTCGTTTTCATATAAATAAGCAGCATCGATATGGCGGAACCCAGCTTCTATCGCATATTTGGTGGCCTCCACGGTCCTACTTTTAGGGACCTAGAAGAGCACCACAGGTAGGATTAGGAGATCCATGTGACTGAGAGGTAGTTCACAAGCAGTGACCTTCATAAGAATCCACGTTTCCACATGTCTTGCTGCTTGTTCTATAGGTGGACTGATGAACCCGTCCCAGTTCCCCTGAATTCTTCCCAGTTTACTGACTTTACTACTGCAAAGGTTGGGCAACCCAGGGTTCCCTTCAGTCCTGGGTTATCACTGGTTGATCACAGGCATTGGAGGTCAGAACTGAAGAACACCTCTGGTCACTGATTTGTTGGACAAATTAACACGGCTCAGCATAGAGTTATACTTAGTTTCATAATTATTTGTACATAGTAAAATTAACACAGGGAAAAGGCACACGAGATGAAGTAATACAGAGTGAGCTTCTATGAGTCCTCCCCAGGGACATTAAACGAACATGCCACATTCCTCCAGCATCATACATTGTTAGCACATGGGAAAGGTTGTCTCCAAGGGATGCTCTTTAGAGGCTTCATTCCTAAGATTTTCACAGGGGGCTGGTTGCATAGACACCTTCTGTTTCCACTTTTCCAAAAGAAATCGGGTATATATGAACCCCACTGTTTGTACAAAGAGTTTGGTTGCAGTCACCATATGTATCAGTCAGGAAATGATGAGAAATCCACGTTTTTAGAGATCAGCCAGGGTCTCATTTTAAAGGTAGGTGCCACTAAGGACACCGGTCTTTTACGTTATGTCTTTTCTACACAGCCATTCTCTCTGCTCCAGAGAACTGAACACTAGGAGCAAAAAGGAGTACTCTAGGGATATAGATTTATACATAGGAAATTAATGACAGGCTGTAAAAGATTAGTTAAGTAGGTGGCAGCCTTAAAACTCAAGGCCAACTCTTTTAGGAAAGATATCATTCCAGTGAAATTTAAAATTATTGTCCTATCTACCAATTGGGATGAAGATTTGAAAGTACATTTGTTAAGTGATATAAACCTGAATGAAACAAACTATTTTCCATTTCTTTGTAAGTATTTCAGAAAATTTCTTTTACCAATGAAATTACAAGGAGCTACACCTCCTGGGCCTTCCTGTTCTCCCCTGACACCATCCCGGGTCTGTCCTGTGCTGTCCTCGCAGACTGACCAAGGCTGAACTTTCAGGGGTGTCCTCATCCCCACTTCTCCTTCATGCTGATTTGTATTACAAAGTAAATGTGTCCTGTCAGCTGTCCTGAAAGTATCTCTCTGCGTATCCTTATGTCTTATAGATGAGAAACTGAGACTCAGGCTTTAAGGAAGTAGTCCCTGGTCACACAATTCATCATCTGAGCACAATGTTGGAATGCAAATTTCCTTCCAGTTTAGCACTAGTTTAGACTAGAAAATGAACTTTTCAGTTTGCTTCACTTTTGTGTCTTTGGACCATTTTCATACAAATTCAATGCATATTAACAAGGACCAAGAATTAAAACTTTCCCTCATTAGGTTCTAGCTTTCTACTAAAATGATGTTATGGTTTCCTTTCAGGTAATTTTCCTAGAGGGGAGAG